TCTGCTTTGGAGGGCAATACGATGAAGAGGAAAGGTATAAACCCTAAACCCTAAACCCTAAACCCTAGACCCTAAACCCTAAACCCTAGGTCTCACGACCCCTACAGTCTCCTTGTGCATGCATGCAGACGACGAAAACCTCTTTGTTTGTTTTATAAACCCTAAACCCTTAGCGCTCTCTTGCAGTGGAGTTGCACATCAAACCCTAAACCCTAAACCCTCAAGTGCCTCCGCATCAAGCTTTAAACCCTAAACCCTAAACCCTCAAGTGCCTCCGCATCAAGCCTTAAACCCTAAACCCTAAACCCTCAAGTGCCTCCTCCCTAAACCCTAAACCCTAGCAGCGTGTTGGCTCCTCTTCCTGTTCAAACCCTCACCCGCACCCATGAGTTTAGCCAGCAGGATCTCCGTAGGGTTTAGGGTTTAGGGTTTAGGGTTTACATTCTCTTTAATGAGTTTATCTTTTCTTGTTTCTGCAGCTGCTTCTCCTCGCCTTGCATGTCGAGGTATTGTTACAAAGGGTTCAATTTGCTTGGGGGCCCCTTGGGGGCCCCCTGGGGCCCCCGTGGATGTTGAGGACATCGGTAGAGACGCAGCAGCAGCAGCAGCAGCAGCAGCAGCAGCAGCAGCGGAGGGGTTTGAAAGCAGCAGCTGCGAATGGGCGGTATTAAAAGGCGTTAGCCTCTCTTTGATTGAGTTGGTGATAGACAAAAAACTAAATACACCTTCAGACTTCTCTGTGACAGACCCTATTCACCTCAACGCACTCGCAACAGTTAGCTGCTGCTACTGCTGCTGCTGCTGATGCTGCTGCTCTTGCTGTTGTTGTTCCAGGACGTGCTGATGCTTGCTGCTTCTGCTCTTGTTGCTGAATGTGCTGCTGCCCTTCGTGTTGCTGCTGCTGCTGCTGCTGCTGTTTGTGCTGCTGCTGCTGCTGCTGCTGTCCTGCTTGCTGCTACTGCTTCTGTTGGTTGTGCCCTTTATGTTTCTGCTGCTGCTGCTGTTATCCTTCTTGCGTTTCTATTTCCATCTGTGCTGCTGCTGCTGCTGCTACGAATTCGCTACAGCCGCCTCTACTACCACTACTACTACTGCTGCTGCTGCTGCTGCTGCTGCTGCTGTTGCTGCTGTGTATTTGTTTAGGAGTTGAGCGTGGAAGCAAGTGGAGGAGGTGCATGCAAAAGTATAGAGTTTAATGATGTGCTAGCAAAAGTAGAGATAGACTTCGTACAGCCTCTACTTGAATTCAATGACCTGTCTAGACAGCTAGCAAACAACCCTTGCAGCACCTGCCACTTAAAGCTGCAGCACCTCACCCTAGCCTCCAAACAAATACAGGTATAAACCCTAAACCCTAAACCCTAAACCCTAAACCCTAAATAACATGTTAACAAGGCCAATGCCCTCTTCCCTTCACCGCTCGCATCAGAGACAGAAAATGTTTCGGGGTTTATCAAAGTTTTATGGTCTACGATTTAGGTTTTAGGGTTTAGGGTTTAGGGTTTAGGGTTTAGGGTTTTGTGCAGCTTGAGGAGGAACGCGGGTATTTGGCGGAGTGTCTGAATGCGCGTTCTTTGGATTTATACCCTGACTTGCAAGCGAGAGAAAGGGTTTTAAGGCGGTTTGGCTTTGTTCATGAAGAAGGCAGACCTACACTGAAGGTCCTTCTATATATACACCAGCACCAGCAGCAGCAGCAGCAGCAGCAGCAGCAGCAGCAAGAGCAGCAGCAGCAGTAGTAGTAGTAGTAGGAGTAGGGGTAGTAGTGGTAGTTACGGGCTTTTGTCTCTTTCTGTCTCTACTTGCGTTTTTACTTCTTTTTTTGTCTCTGTTGATGCATTGAGATGTCTCTTTGTTTATTTCTTTTTGTTGTTTTTCTCTGTCTCTCTTCCTATGTAGCGGTCTCTGTTGCTGCTACTACCTTTCTGCTTAGTTGTCTCCTTTTGTCTCCTTTTGTCTCCTCATGTCTCTTTTTGTGTCTCCTTTTGTCTCCTTTTGTCTCCTTTTGTCTCTTTTTGTGTCTCCTTTTGTCTCCTTTTGTCTCCTTTTGTCTCCTTTTATGTCTCCTTTTACCCTTTCATTGCGTCTCTTTCGCTCCTTACCTTGCCCCCTATTTGCATGCACTTTGCATGCACTTTGCATGCACTTTGCATGCATTTTGCATGCACTTTGCATGCGTTTTGTGTTTGTTGTTTAGGGGCGGGTGGCTTGCCAAGTTGTCTCCGGGGATGAGCTGACGTTGGTTGAGTTTGTCTTTAGGAACGGATTTGAGGTGTCTCTCGTTCTCTTTCTGTCTCCTTTTCTGTCCCTTATTCTCCTTCTGTCTCCTCTGTTGTCTCTATGTCTCCTTTGTCTCTGTCTCTCTGTCTCCTTCTGTCTCCCTGTCCGTCTCTCCGTCTCTTTCTGTCTCCTTTCCTATCTCTTTCTGTCTCCTTCTATCTCCTTTTCTGTCTCTTTGTCTCCTCCCGTCTGCCTGTCTGTCTCTCTGTCTCCTCCTGTCTCCTTTTTGCCTCCTCTTCTGCCTCCTCTTTTGTCTCCTCTTCTTCTCTTCCTGTTTATATTTGTGTCTTTTTTTGTGTCTCCTTTTGTTGTCTCCTCCTGTCTTTCTTGCTGTCTCCTTTTGTCTCCACATGCTGTCTCTTCCTTTCTTCTTGTCTCTTTCTGTCTCATCTCTGTCTCCTCTTAATCTGACTCCTTTTATTTATACTGTCTCCTTTTATACTGTTTGTCTCCTTTTATACTGTCTGTCTCCTTTTATACTGTCTGTCTCCTTTTATACTGTCTGTCTCCTTTTATACTGTCTGTCTCCTTTCCTTTTCAGGGTTTATCTATAGAAGAGATTGCAGCAGTGCTGAGTGCTTTTGTTGGCTGTGATAGAGAAAGAGAGGAGACACCTGCACCCACAGCTAAACTACAAGACGCTCGCATACTAGTAAACCCCACACTGCAGCAGCAGCAGCAGCAGCAGCAGCAGCAGCAGCAGCAGCAACTGCAGTAGCAGCAGCGGCAGCACCAACTGCAGAAGCAGCAGCAGCAGCAGCAGTAGCAGCAACTGCGGTAGCAGCAGCAACTGCAGCCAGAAACAACAGCTGCCAGCTGCAACAGCAGCAGCAGCAACTGCAGCAGCAACTGAAACAGCATCAACTGCAGCAGCAGCAGCAACTGCAGCAGCAGCATTGATGGTTTGCTGCTTGTTTTATTCATAGGCAGAGACAATCCACACCGAGTTGCTGACTGCTCAGAAGCAAGAAGGCCTCCGCGTAGCAGATGAAGACTGGTGGAGACTCTGCAACTTCGATATGGCCCTCGTAGGGTTTAGGGTTTAGGGTTTAGGGTTTAGGGTTTAGGGTTCAAGGGGTAGGGGGTTGGGTTTAGGGCTTAGGGGGTAGGGTATTTAGTCTGTAGGGCTAGGATTCACGGTCTAGGGTTTAGGGTTTAAGGTTCAGGGTTTAGGGTTTAGGGTTTAAGGTTTGGTGCTTATAGTTGAGGGTTTAGGGCTTATGAATTAGGGTTTAGGGTTTAGGGTTTGTTTGCAGGTGGCGTACGAATGGGCCCGGGGAGCGCCGTTTGTGAACGTCATGCGTCTCACCACTTTGCACGTAAGGCAAGGGTTTAGGGTTTAGGGTTTAGGGTTTAGGGTGTGAGACGTAAGGCTCAGGGTTTAGGGTTTAGGGTTTAGGGTGTGAGACGTAGGGCTCAGGGTTTAGGGTTTAGGGTTTTGTTTTGCTGCTTCAGGAAGGCTCCGTTGTGAGAAGCCTCTTGCGGCTGGACGAGCTGTTGCGGAAGGCAAGCTTAGGGTTTAGGGTTTAGGGTTTAGGGTTTAGGGTTTTTAAACCCCAGCAGCACCGCGTGCATGCAGCTGCATCTGTTAGGGCTTAGGGTTTAGGGTTTATCATTTTATTTGTTTTCTTTGCATTTATATTTTAATTTATTGTCTCTCTTGTTTGTTTTTATTTTTATTGTCTCCTTTATTTTATCTTTTGATTTGCTGTCTCCTTTTTATTTTTCTTTGTATTACCTCTCACTTCCTTGTCTATGAGTTCAATTACGTATATATATAGATATATTTTTATTTATTTATTTATTTATTTATTTATTATTTTATCTGTCTGTACAGCTGGGCCAGGCTATGGTGTTAACTGGAAACTTCGAGTTGTCGAGACAGCTGGAGACTGTCTCCTCAAGAATACGCAGAGACATTGTCTTCGCGACTTCTCTCTATCTCCACTAACATATATATATAATACATATATAGAATATATATAGATATATAATATATATATTATATATATATATATATCTATATAATATATATATATACATATAGATTATATATATATAGGTTTCTCAGGTTTCTATGGATATATGTAGTATATAGAAAAAAACATATATAATATATATATGATATATAATATATTATATATATATTATATATATATGTTTATATATTTCTATTTGTATAAGACTGCATCGTAATGCGCACAGATTTGCGCGGACTTCATTTTTATTATTCCGAATTTTTGTATTAACAACAACAGTGAAGATACACCGCAACATTATTATATATATATATATTATATATATATACATATATATTTAAATATATATATATTTATATATATAACTACAGAGATGTATATATATATATATATATATACATCTATAGGCATATCTATAATAGATATACTCGTTTATAGTATCTATATAAATATATATACATATATATACACATATATATATATATATATACATAGTAGATAATCGTAAATAAACAAGTCTCTATCTACGCGCATTAATGTAGATAAATGTATAGTAATAATAATAATTATTATTATTATTAATTAGTATACAATATTCATTATTAATATTATTCTGCACTGTTTATTATTATTATCATTAATACTATTATTAATATTACTATTGTTGTTGTTATTACTATTATTATTATTATTACTATTACTAAATATTATTACTGTTATTATTATTATTGCATAATCTTTTTGTTTCTTGCATTTAATTTCTTCGATTTGTTTGTTTGTTTGTTTGTTGCGTTGGGTTTGTCTATTATTATTTTATATTTTTGTTTTTGTTTTTAAACAATTAAAATGTATTATTAATCGGAAGAACAAACAAAGAGGAGAAAACAAGAATTAGAGTAATATGTTGTTTATAAATAAAGGCGAGATATATAAATATAAAAATATTTGCATGAATTAACAAAGAAAGATATCTCTTTTAGTATAATATTTGCATGCAGACACCGCATGCAGCAGCAGCAAAAGGAGGCAAACAAAACAAAGAGACAAACAAACAACAAACCACAACAAGGAGACAGACAGCAGCAAGGAAGTAGATACACAATCTTCTTCTTAAGGTTTATATAAAAATATATTGTAATAAATATATTTTTATATAATATACGCTAATAATGCACACCCGGACTGCTTAGCCCCTGCTACGCTCCTTTTTTGCTGCTGCTGTTTGCTGCTGCTGCTGTTTGCTGCTGCTACTGTCTGGCGCAGCAGCTGCTGCTGTGTGGTGCAAGAGCTGCTGCTCTTTTTGGTGCTACTGTTTGCTGCTGCTGCTTTTGCTGCTGCTGCAGTGACATGCGCGCTGCTTCTGAGGCGGAGAATAACAATCAGTCGGCCTAGGACAGGCTAAGCCCTAAACCCTAAACCCTAAACCCTAAACCCTAAACCCCTTCTTCCGCTTGCAACTCGGGGAAGTAGAGAGCTGCTGCATCAGGAACAGCAAGACGAGGGCCTCCACAACCCCACAGCGAAAGGAGACACTTAATCATATTTTCTTTAGCGCCCTGCTGCCTTAATTCTTCTGTTATAGAGAGAGGAGACACCCCTGCAAATTGGCATAAATCCTCCTGTAGCATTTGCTGCTGCTGCTGCTGCTGCAACACTTGCTGCTGCTGCTGTTCCTCATTGTCTTGCTGCATCTGCGCCACCTGCAGCTGTGGGAGTTGCTCTTCTAGTTGCTGCTGCCCGGCTAGTGCTTGCTCCTCTATCTGTTGCTTCTGCAGCTGCTGCATTTGCTGCTGCATTTGCTGCTGCATTTGCTGCTGCTGCTGCTGCATTTGCTGCTGCTGCAGTGTTTTTAATACTTCTGCTGGGGCCAGTAGGCTCTGCACTCCAAATGGGTTATTCCCGTTAGAAAGAATCTGATATAATAAAACGCCGAGTTTAACACCGTCATTCTTTATCTGCATGACAACATCTTCTTCTTTCAGAGCACAAAGAGGTGCTGCTTCCTCGGGTGCATTCACTGCAGCAGCAGCAGCAGCAGCAGCATCTGCTCCTGCTCCTGCAGGAGGTGCTGGAGCACCAAGAGGCCGGGCTTCTGAAGCCCCCAAAGTAGAGAAAGGTGATGCTCTAAGAGCTGCAATATCTGCACAAGGTTTTAAATATCCTTGTGCTTCCGTCATTTCTAAATCTGCTAGATACACCTGACCCTGCGGAGACACCACAACTGAATCCAGGGAGACAGCCCCAAAGGAGACACCAGCTGCATGCAGCACACTGAATGCACGCAAAACCCGCATTGCTGCCTGCTGTCTTGCACCACTGCTTAGAAACTGCGGTGTATGTGCATCTGCAGCAGGGGCAGAGCCTGCTGCTGCATGCGCTCGCGCTGGGGATAAAGGAGGTGCATCAATTGCAGCCCGTGAGGGTCCTGCTGCTGCTGCAGCAAACGGAAGTGCTGCTGCTGATTTTATTTGTTTAAGTTCAGAAGAAAGGCTTCTTGGTCCAGAGATCGTGTGGGGAGCGGGGTCGGTGGGATCGGGATCGGCATCGTTGGGATCGAGATCGGCGACGGGATCGGGTGTGGGGTTGGAGCTGCTGAGCAGGTCCTTTAGACTGCATGCATACGGGAACGTGATTGTTGCCTGAGGCGAGAGGATAAAGGAGCCAGCCCAGGCAAAAGGCATTTGAAAAGAAGACATTTGAACGGAAAACAGAGGCAGAAGCAGCGCTGAGCTTGTTGCTGCTGCTGCTGCTGCTGCTGCTGCTGATGCGGAAGCACTCCCGTGCAGCGCGTGTGTCTGCTGCAGCCGCTGCATCAGCATTAACGGCCTCTGAATGTGCTGCCCCGCTGCAGCAGCAACAGTAAGCAGGGAATGCAAAGAGTTGAAGCTATGTTTATGTTTCTTTAAAGGCCCCCAAGCCCCCTGGTGGGCCCCCAAAGACTTGGGGGGGGCCCCCCAGCCAACCCGTAGGTGCAGGGACCCCTCATGCAGCGCACTGAATGGGGGCCTCATTGGGGCCCCTTCAAACACCACAGCCTTTTGAGATACATGAACAAATCGCTTTAACATTATAGGCACATTCTTTAAATGCACAAGACTGTCGTCTGATGTACTCGCTACTTCACCCAGTGTTATTGTATCTAAGAGAGATCCTGATTGTCTACTCAGGTCCGGTACACACAAATACTCTAGCCCGCGAAGACATAGCTCCCCTTCTGCAGGCAAAGCAGGTGCTGCTGCAGAGAAGCGCGCTGCAGCTTCTCCAAGCTCATGCATCGCCGCTTCATTCCTACCTACTCCTGCTGCTGCTGCTGCTGCTTCTGCTGCTGCTCCTGCTGCTGGCTCTCGCACCGCGTACTCCTTATCCTCCGACCAACCAAGTGAACTCCTTACAGGCATCTCACCTGAGGGCCCCAAAACTGGGGGCCCCCAGGGGGGCCCCAGCGCTGCAACGGCACCCTTGCGGCCTCTCATTGACCGCAGCGATTGCTGAAGCTGCTGCATCTGCTGCTGTCGAGAGGTAGAAGTAGGAAAAATAGTAGCAGAGGGAGCAAGGGGCCTGGTGGCTACCCTTGCCTCCGTTCTCTGCTGGCTGCGGCGCGGAAGTGTAAGATACTGCTGTTCTCTTTGCTGGGGCCTTCTGTACGTCTGGTGGGTCTCTAGAGACCTTCCAGCCGCACGGAAAGCTTGCCGAGCCGCTCTAGGGAGCTGACGGCTTGCCTGAAGAAAGGATGCATCTTGATCAGCAGCGACAAACCCGCTGCTGGCTGCCTGTGCAGACGATGTGCATACGCGGAACCCGAGAAGGGAAAGGAGAAGAAAAATAAACTTCATTCCGGTGTTTCTCCTTTTAGAAAAAACGGAAACAACAAAAAATCAAACAAAAAATCAGGCAGGGGAAGTCAGATCGATGAAGCTGCATCTCTCAGGACGACCGATGCTGCCTCTCGAAGAAAACCCCTAAAAAGCAAAGCGTGAGACCTCCTGCGGAATAATATGCAAGTTAAGTGTAAAATGTAAGATATAAATATAAATATTTCAATAATATTTGAAAGAAAGCGGCCTTTCTCGACTCCTCCGGCCGCATTTATTCCCGAAAGGTGCTGACGAGGAACTCGCACGCGGCAGAGCGGTTTCCTCGCCGATTTCTGAGCCAGTTGCCTTCTTTTGAGTCTTTTCGTTCTTCGTTTTAAAATAAGGCTCCGAATCGGGAATTTATTCAAAGAGATCAAAGACAAGTCGTCAACGACAGCTCGATCGCGAAGGCTCGCTCCACTGGACCTCCGCAACCGCGGCCGATTCAGCCGGCACCTGAAACGTGAACAACGGCGTTTTAATCCAAATCATGAATTTGAAACAGTAATGAAATAAACAAGGTATTTATCTTCATTTTACATCTGTTTATGCATTTCAAGGGCGATGTGGTGGAATATTCCTGCAACAAATCGCGTAACGATTCGCACCGGCTGTTGTTCAAGATCGAGAAAGCTGAACATTTCGGGTGTATGCTGAGGTGTCTTCAAGTGCAAGATTCAATAAGCTCCACAGCCTTCATTTTTTAATCATTATTTTTACGTTTACTCCCCCAATTGTTTTGAAGACAGCTTTCCTTTTCTTGATTGCTTCTTGCTGCTGACACACAGGCATTGCTGCTGCTGCTCGCCCCTGTTGAACTCGTTCAAAGTGAAAACAGCTTCATAATTATGTAGGCAGCGGAGCTTCTTCTGAATACTGATCAATTTGGGTTTACTGCAACTAATATGATTGAGGGCGGCAGCTTATTCAAGTGAATTCAAGTAAGAAACAGTAAAAATACGTTTTTTCATGATTTTGCAAATCAGGCCACAGAATGAACGTACTTTAGAATTCACAATGAAAAATTGTATATATTAACTCAAGAACGATGAGGCATTTGAATCCCGTACATGAGAAGCACTCACCGCATACCACTGTGTACGTGCAAAAGACAAACAAAAAGAAAAACCCTTAAATGCTTCCATATATACGCTTTGGGGCCCAGATCAGATAGTTCTTTAGGGTTTAGGGTTTCAGCGAAGCTTCCCTAAACTCTTCGGCGGCCTTCTAAAGCCTGAGAAGGATTTGAACTGTAGAGTTCTGCTGCTGCCTCTCCTCTGGCTGGTGTTGCTGCTGCTGCTGCTACTGCTGATGCTGCTACTTCTACTGCTGCTAATGTTCTTTCTCTGTTTGATGGCCGCAAAGTTGCTGCCTGAACACCCTACAGTGTCTCCTCCATGCATGCGAGTTCTGCTTTCAAGTCAAAGGGTACAGAACATAAGTTTTCTTTGCATTGCATGCGTGCATTCGTACGTCATTGCACACAAGCATACATGCATGCAGTGAGTGCGCCTTGAGCAAGTTAAATATTGAGTAGCATCTCCTTTGCTCTTCTTCTAAGCAAACAGGAAAAGTTCGAAGACTGCAATTTGTCTTTACAAAGACTAAGATAAGAACAACACCAACCTACTCAGCAACAATAATACAAATTTAAGCATGGAGGAGCAACAACACAAACTTATTCGGGCAGCAGCAACAGCAGAACAAAACAATGAAGACCTTTCTCGTTGCTGCGCATAGTTCAAAATACCTTCGTTTGTTTTTTTTGGCTGTACAGCGTGCTTGCTGCGGTGTCTGTACACCCGAGAAACAACTCGCTGCATTCACTGCAAAAAAATAAAACAGAAATAAACGGTGCCTGTCTTGCTGCTGCCACAGCATTGTTGCTGCTACAGCATTGCTGCTGCTGCTGCTGCTGTTCCTGCTGCTGCTGCTGCCGCAGCGCTGCTGCGGCTGTTCCGAAAACAGAAAGCCTGCTGCATCTGTTGGCTGCCTAGCCCGAGCATGCCTCGATGCATGCATGCATGCATACGACATATTTATTTGCTGTCTCCTGTTTTGTTTTCAATGATTCCCTTTTTAACTCCTCTAACATCATATTCAGATCGATCGCATATTTTCGACAAGTCATTGAACTGCACTCTTCCGTCGTCTACTGTCGTTGGGCCACCCATTTTATGCACTCCAGTGTACGTACTCTTATCATCATGAAAGCGAACATTATCTGCTTTTGTTCCTGTTAAGATAGGCCCTTGTGTTCCTTCTGAACGAATTCAACAAACAAGAGAGAGGAAAACAGAAAGAAATGCAACAGAATAAGGTCTACATATAGTGTATACATTAAAAAAAAAGAAACACAATCAAAACCAACAAGCGTTACCTCCATTACACTCTATTACACTTGTTAAATACATAAAAACAAACACACTAATTCTGGAGGCTCTTCGTTCTACTTTGTTTTATATATTTTGTTTCTCTGCACTCTTCTTCTTTACTTTGCTCCGCAGCTCCAACTGTCTGCCTGATTATGTATACTTCATGGGGAAATGGAGGAAGAAAAGTAATTAGAACAAGAAAAGGAGAGGTAAGGAAAGCAAGAGAAACATGAAAAAGAATAAAATGATCATTTAAACAAAGAGAAGGGCAATTTGAACGAGGAGAGAGGAGATGAGCACTTAGAGCAAAACTGACAAGTAAATGCAGTATGAATAAAAGCAACACATAAGAAGAGTATTATATATGTATTGTACTACCAAAGCAATAATTAAAAGTAGTTCATATTATAGGCATACCTTCAGCAAGCTTTGCATGCAGAGCTTCAACTTCAACACCTTTCTTCGCTGCTACTAATCGCAGCGCCTCCTCAAACTCAGCAAATGTTATTTTTTTTGCTCCTTTTGCCTTTACCTTTGTGAATATTAAATCTGCATCAACTCCTGTTACCTTTGAATCCAGAATTTTGCAATCTCGTAGAATTTTCGTGAATGTACGGCCATCCATCTCATCCGCCCCCTTTGTGTACGCGTTAAAGGCATCTTTTAAACTCATTCTAAAGCAGAATACAAACAAACCACAAATAAAAAAACCATTAGGACAATAATTCCACATAATTAACAACAAAACACAAAAAAAACGAGAGGAAACGAAGCCTTCACTCATAAATATGTACGTGTGCATGCATGCATGCATGCATGCAACACGCAAAAAGAAAAGAATACCGGTATACTTTATACATATTTATAAATATATGATGCTCCCATCTCCCTGATATATGCATATAATATATATAATATATACATATACCTATTTGCCTTCAGAAAACGTGAATGCAGAGAGTTGAGCTTCCACGGGGAGTGAGTGGAATAAATAATGCAGTAATTCGTTTGAATTGATTTAATTTATCACTCAATAACAAGAAAAAACTCAACTTATTGTTCTACATATTTAATATCGGGAAATGCAACAGAAACTGGAACTTAACGCCACACACGGACAGAAACGTACAGAGTGCAGATACACCCCAAGATATTCAAATTTAGCAGTTAATTTCAATTTCTTTCCATGAATATTTGAATAAATCCACAAAAATAACTCAAAATATATATAATATTCAAAGAAGACGAAGGAAAGCAGAAAGAAAAGGAGAGCATCGAACCACTGGCCCACAGTGCTTACTTCAACGGGAAGATAGGCGTCTTAAAACTGCAATGAACAAACTGTAGGAAAATTTAATTCAAATAATCAAAATAAACTTTAAAACAAAAAGGAATTCCTCTCTAATGCACGCAAACTCCTGAAGCGGCAACAGCCAGGAGGCTAAAGGGATTTCGCCGCACACAAAGCTGCTGCTGCTGTTGTTGCTGCTGCTGCTGTTGCTGTTGCTGCTGTATTTTCTGCTTTTTTGAATTAATTAAGCATATAAAATATTTTATTTGATTGTTTTAATGAATATGTTTGTTTAAGGAGCTAGTTTGTGCTCAGCTTAACCTTTTTTCAATGTACACACGAGGGGCTTCTTAGGGGCTGATTTCATCAGCATCGGTGGGAAGGAATTTTGTTTAATGTTAAAAAAAAATAAATTTTATTGTTTTAAATTAATTAAAACATTATTACTCAAATTCAACTTATATTTGTAAATACCAGCTCCACTCGCTTTCGATGAACAGTAACAGGCTCTAATTCCTTAATTGAATTCCTTCAGTCTTATTTTTAAAAATATATTCTCTTAATGTTGTTAAAAGACAAGATTATTTGTATATTATTAATAATGTTCTGCTTTATTTTAGGGGCTTGAAGTGTTTTCGTCTCCTTTTTTGCGGCACCAACGTATATATATAATACATATATATAATATGTATAGATTCATGTATAGTATATTCACACATATATGTATATATTACACATGAATAATGCATTATAATATAATGCGTTTTATTATATACCTAGAACGGGCCTAAAATAGTGCATAAACTGAGTATAAAAACTTGTAGAAATAAAGAATTACATTCTTGGGGCTTTGCCTCTTCCGACTGTTTCTCGATATATTAATGCATTTACACATGTAAGGTGCACAGACAGCAATATCGATAAAAATATTCAATAGAAGAATGTAAAAAGAGAGGTTTATCTGTCCTTATATTCCAAACCCTAAACCCTAAACCCTAAACCCTAAACCCCAAACATTAAGCCCTAAAAGGGAAAAGGCCTTTTCAAGAAGATAAAGAATGAACATTCCCTTCTCGTTTGCACTTCGTTCTAGAATAACATCAAATTCATTGCAGACTTAGGGTTTAGGGTTTATGCTTAGATGTCTATAGGCAGCATGACGGAGAGTATAAACCCCTTTAATCAAAAATAGTTTTATTTTCCTTAGCCTCTCCCCTCCTCTTCAAAGAAAACAACAGTATTTCTTTTAGAAACTCTTCGTTTATTTAAAAGAAGAAATTAAAAAAGAAATGATGCACGGGAATATACTCCGACAGTTTGCTGCTCAAAAAGAGCCCTCGACAAAACAAACGAAGTTTAAAAAACTCTTCTACACAGCGAAGTGCTGCTGTTGTTCTCTTTAGTGGGTGCAGCAATAGACGTTTATAAGTACGTAAATATAAGTATATATATATATGTTTGTATATAAGCTGCTTTTAAACAACAAATAAAATTTAAGATAAAAGGGAAGGATAGAAAAGGCGAGAGGGGGGATGAAAGTTGCTATGAAAAGTATCTAAAGAGACAGTTAAAAACCTAAGGCAAGAATATAATATTATATTATGTTATATTATATTATACTAGATTATGTCATATTATATTATTATATTATAATAAGTAGGCTTCTAAAAAGGCAAAAGATATATGCATTAAGGCAGCCACTGAAGATGGGGCCGTCGAAGAGACGGAGAAAAGGAGACAGAAGAAACAGAGGAGACAGAGACAGCCTATCTATAAAGCGACAGTTGAGATAGAGAGACATGAAACAGAGACGGAGACAGAGTGTATCTAAAGAGACAGTTAAAAACCTAAGGCAAGAAAGGGGATGGAAATATATTATCCCCACAGGGACAACTGAGATGTACAATAAGGAGACAAGAGAGACATGAATATATGAATAAATATAATTATTTTACTAAGATACAGCTGAGAGGAAGTCTAAGGAGGAGGTAGAAGAGACAAGCATAGGGAGATTCCCCCTGAGGATACAGCTGAGATCGATAAAAAAGAGACAGAAGAAACAGACATATATATTTTACTAGGTAGAAAGTTGAGATTCATTCAAAGGGGGCAAAGGAGAGGGAGACGGAGAAAAAACAGGCAGATTGTGAGGAGACAGAATGCAACAGATTTTAAGGAGACAAAGAAGATGGATTCAGTGGAGACGGAGACTGAGACAAAATCTGTCTGTGTTTTTGTTTCTGTCTCTACTTCTGTCTCCCCAAGAAGCCTGTTCAACTGTCTCCTCTGAATGCGTGCAGCGCCCCTTTATGCAGCACACCAACAACACCGCATGCACGCATTGATGGACTGAGCAACAAGCCTCATGCATGCATTACTAACACGAAATGAGACAATAGGCAATAGGTAAACCCTTCCTTACGTCCCCTTATCAGCAAAACACCCGTATGCAATTAGAAATTGATTATACATCTGAGCTTTCAAAGGAACCGAATACAAAAATGTGCAGCTTGGGGGTGAATAGCCACCTGTACTTCGTGAAACGTCGGTAGAGACACCTCAAAAACCTCAAAATTGCATTACAAATGAGTTGTGCCAATGTTTACGTCAATTTAATCGAAGAAATCGAACAAAACATCGCAGAAATCGAGTTCAAGGTCTATGCATATCGTGGTGATTTGTTTGAT